ATGGCCTCGATCGTCTTCTCCCTGCTTCGACGGACATCTGCGAGGCGCAATTCTTCGCAGTAGTTGCTGAAACTCGAGGTGGCAGTCTCACCAAAATTGGACGCATCCAAGTTGGAGAACTCAAACCGGGCCAAAAGGACGGCCACGTCCATGAAAATAGAGAAAAGAGTGGATGACTTGGGTGAGGCGATTAAAGACTGGCCGAGCAGGAACGCGAAAAGGTTGCGGAACAAAAGAAGAGTCTCTGTGTCCTCTGGACCGAGCCTTGTTTGTGGGTTGGACAAATCGCAGTTCAGCGGAATGGGGAGGTAAAGATGGAGTTCCTGCACTTCCTCCGGGGTATCTTCGAATGCCATCCTTTGGCTTCCCGCACTGTCATTATCGTTGTCATTTTCGGGCTGACGGTCCACCGGTGACATAGGGGGGGACATGGGAGACCCGGGATTGAGTGACATCGTTCTAGTTGGCTGCTCAAGGCCGCTCTTGCCATCATTTCCGCGGGCTAGAAAAGTGAGGGAGGGTGATTCGGCAAATATGGTGGAATCGACCTTGAAAGACGGAGGGTGGCCGGTAGTCTGGGGGAACATGTACACATAAGTGTCACCTTGCTCGTTCCACAGTTCCTGGATCTGGAAAGTGATAAGAAATGATTAACGTTTGCACCTCAAAACAAGTGATTTCGCGTCTGCATACCTGTTCTCCTCTAGACAATGGACCTAAATCATAAACAACCTTCTGGTCCAGTCCTGCGATCCAAGCAGCCGGAAGCATTGCAGCAGGCCGCTTATCGGTTGAGCTGGCGCGCGAACGACCGGGCATCCAGCTTCTGCGCTTTGACGGTGTGCTAGGGCGGGAATCTGGGTTGGATCCAGGGATGGTCAACCCTGCCGAGCTGGAGGGCCTGCTCATATCACGGCCTCTGCTCTGCGGACGGCCAATGGGCGAACTCGGCACGCTGTTGGCCAGATCCTGGTTCACCTCCAGCAGTGACGGTGGTGGGGGTAGGCTCTCCATATCGAGGCTATCGGGCATGGTCCTTGGCTCCGAGGCATAGACGGCATTGGGGGTTGAGACATGGCGAGTGGGTTTTGAGCTGCTCCGGCTTCGTTTGTCGCTAACGTTTTCTGACGAATTCAACACTGGCGAAGACGCAACCGAGGATTGGGATTCCCGATCTTTTGATCCCAGCGAGAACAGAGACGAAATCCGCTTCGCCGACTTAACGGGAGCCGACAACATCTTGGGTGATAGAGATGTTGGGAGAGGATGAGTGTTTTTTTTTTCGGGGATGAGAGCGACCCGGAGGTAGAGAAGGTTAAGCCCGCATGTGAGCCCTGGGGGAATGAAGTGTGCTTGGCAGGTGATGGGGGGAGGCGGAGGTTTAGGGGGTTGTGGAATGGATCGGCAGGAGGGATTGGAAGAATGATAGGAAACCTGACACCGTTCACTGACGAGAGGCGAAAAATTAGAAAGGAAGAGAATGACAAAAGGGAGAGAAGCTCAGGAGAAGATGAGAATAAAAGGCACAAAAGCTAATATCGGAGCCTTAATTTTTAGATTTCACTATTATTTCACGGTTTTAATAATAATTTACGAATACATGCCAGATGCATAATACGGCCTATTGCCAATAATAGAACGAGCACGATGAGACGAGTGGTTCCCCGGCTGTGCATGTCTTGGATGTGGAGACAATAAAATACGCGATTTATAGAAGAGAGGTAGGTAACCATATTCAATTGCGTTATAGGGAGTGTAGGAGAAATGGAAACGATATCCACGTCTATCGATTGTGTATACATGGGTTGGAGTAAACAAATAACTGTACAAAGTGCTTAGGGAGCATAACCCACCTTGCAAGGACCCAATAAAAGCCTTTATATAAAACACGATCATGCCGCTGTGATCCGACATAACTGGGGATACCAGGGTATGCACCGTATTTAAGAAAACCAGTAGAAAGTAGTAGGGAGTATGACGAGACGTACAGAGTTCCATCCGACAATATCATAGTTGCCCTCCCCCGTGTAAAATTTGATGGCAAGGTCGGGAAACTCGCGACCGAGGGTGACAGTCGAGGGAACACCGGGGTTTTGAGGCCGACGCTTCTCAAGAAGTCGGACTTGGGGTATGGGGTTTTGGATCTTTGTGCACAATTTGGCAGTCGTATCCATCAATTATGGCGGTTTGGCCGAGTGGTCTAAGGCGATTGACTAGAAATCAATTCTCTTCGGAGGCGCATGTTCGAATCATGCAGCCGTCGTACTGTATCTTCTTTTTATTTTTATTATTTCTATCTTACCCGTCCTACATTACTACTCTGTACAGAGTAGTTAAGTATTAAGTGGTCTGTCCAAGGAGTTTTTGTTTTGTCTCTTTTCGTTGGGATCATATACAACCAAGGATACAAGGTATAAATCTTAGGTGCTGGTATGAAAATTGGAGTACCGCCTTCCCAATCTGATGCAAATACAAATTCTGCCATATATTCTGCCTACTTTTGCATTTTAATCACAATATTTAACCTAATCCTTACAGAGGAATGAAGTAGTTGATAAGGCAGTTGACGATGAAGCATTTGATGCAAGATATGATAGGAGTAACTTAAATTTGCTAGGAGTTTACATACGAAATGTAGGTACCTGTCATATGCAGTTTAATACAAAAGAGGTTTACAAATTAGGAGGCGGTGAAGAGAGCGGTAGGCAGAAGCAAGATTGTTATTCAACCAAATTACGAAGGCGGTACTGAATCCTCAGGCAGGAGAGTGTGTTTATACTGAAAGGGGGATGTTCTGACAACAAGGGGGATACATAGTACATTTTCTCAATTAGAAAAATTACAAAAAAAGAATTATAGCACGACGGCTGCATGATTCGAACATGCGCCTCCGAAGAGAATTGATTTCTAGTCAATCGCCTTAGACCACTCGGCCAAACCGCCTAATTATTAAGATAGATTCAAAAATTTGGATCTATAAGCCAGGGACAATCAATGTACCATCAATCATCCCATCCTAGTAACTAGTGCGGAGTACCACTTTCAATATTGCTCCTCTGCACAAAGCATTTGTACTCTATACTTTGTACACATAGAATAGGATAGTTCTTGTTTCGTAGTAATATATTGCTCTACAGGCATTGGGTTCGTATTTGGATTAGATCTATGGTGTAGAGTCGTTAATACTTCATATTTTTTTTTTATATACACCTAGAAACATAGCATATTGTGTGTACCAGGTCTGGCTAAGAATGTATAAAAGATTACCTAGGTGATGTGGTAGGCTTTTTGTCTAGTAGTCGAAAAATTCAATACTAGGTTTGAGTCGTTCAAATTTCGTATGAAATGGACCTAAATCTATAAACATCATGAGCTCTATTGATTTTAATTGACTATAGCAACTGCAAACTTTGAGGCCTCGAGAGGGGTTAGGTTATTCAACCTGCATATACCACCGGGTATCGCCAGGTAGTATATAAGATACTCTTTCTTATATGACATAGAACTACCTATATAATGGGTTCACCTTACTACTTTCAACCAGACTTCGACAACTGATAAAGGCCTGGTCATCCGTATGTCTTAGGATATAGAATTCAGGCGTAACATTATCGAGAACGAATCACCTGTAGTGTGCTATTATTTGTCATATGTCAGGACTTAGAATAGGGAGGCAAAGACCAATTAGTCAATAGCCTGTTCATATTTCATATCGATTACTAAAGACACCGTGACCATTGAACCTTGGAACCTCTATTATTCCCCAGTGTCTCTGCACTTTTGTATTAGTACCTAGTAGGTACCATGTCGGGTCAGCAGGCGTGATCCCTAGGCTGAGTAACATATAACTGAGATATATTCCACGCTTAGTACGATCGAGTTATACCCATGGATTCCTGCTAGTACCTTGGTAGGTGCGCAGCCCAGGTGATGGGAAATTTAAAACCTTGGATACTGTACTACAATATCTACACATGTACCCACTATGGATATATCCCAGTACAAGAGAGCAACATTAAAACCTTGGAACTGCCCAGGTAGGACCTAAGTACTAAATCAAGAGCATCCAATGTTATTTTTCATAAAGCGATAGGTTCCTACTTGTTTCTGCTACTAAATTTGTGAACTGATATCTTGACATGGATACTCATGGTTATCAATTGCTAGCAGAGCTATGAATACGTTATGAACATGATTTGTCATCAATTACGGCGGTTTGGCCGAGTGGTCTAAGGCGATTGACTAGAAATCAATTCTCTTCGGAGGCGCATGTTCGAATCATGCAGCCGTCGTGCTGTATCCTTTTTTTTGGACAATTTCTGACAATCTTTTTTATGGTTTTGCTGCTGCGGAGTACATGGACGTAATTAACAGAATTTCCTTAATCCTAGATTTACTATAGCCCTCGAGCTATCTAGGAAGAAACCAACTCCGTTGAGCCGAATAGTCTACTAAGATTTCATTTCTTATGGAGATATGTTTCACGAGAGTTCCTAGTATTTATTTTTAGCGAGAACTATTCAGGCTAGCCAGCGTAGCATACACAATTCCTATCAGCTCTATGATACACATTTGGAGCGGGCTACCTATCTAATATGGCGGTTTGGCCGAGTGGTCTAAGGCGATTGACTAGAAATCAATTCCGTTCGCGGGCGCATGTTCGAATCATGCAGCCGTCGTGTTCTTTTTTTTCTTTCATTTTTATACTCGATCCATGATACCGCATGCTTACAACCTTACCGTGTTCTTATTTTTTATTTTCTTACAATACACCATACATGGAGGACGCCGCTATTCCTGGCCTCTACATAGATACCAACCAATACCGTCTCTGTGCCTGTTAACCCCCTCGAACCATTCAATCCCCGATCTCGGATGCATCGGTGCCCACCTCGCCACATCAACCGTGGAAGCCCAAGCTCTTACCCAAGCATTAATGCTAGTTGGGTTCAATAACACGCAATTGATATTCATGAACTCCAATTGACATCCTATTCGTCATGACACTCACCGTTTCCCCCGACCAGCCCATTGACCTCCAAATCGGCTGGCCCAACCCCGCGCTCCTCCCCGCCTCCATCCTTTCCGACTCCGCTACGACCGTATTATCCACTCCCTCCATTGCAAACCCAGCCCTCCTCTACGGCCCCGACGAAGGGTACGGACCGCTGCGCACACACATAGCCGCATGGTTGAGTGATTTCTATCAGCCCCGCGAGCCGGTCTCAGCGCAGCGCATCTGCATCTCCGGCGGGGCCAGCCAGAACCTAGCATGCGTGCTGCAAACCTTCACAGACCCGGTCTACACGCGGAATGTATGGATGGTCGCACCGACGTACCACCTGGCCGCGCGCATCATGGAGGACTCCGGCTTCGCCGGGCGCCTACGCGGAATCCCCGAAGATGACGAGGGCATCGACATCGCGGTGCTTGAGAGCGGGCTGCGCGCTGCTGAGGAAATCGCCTTGCGCGCTGGAAACACCGAGCCGGTAGGACAAGTCTTGATCCTATGACTGAGTGCAGTCACTGTGCCATGCCACTGTACCATCATTTGTTGAGTTCTGGACTGATACTGCCCCTCTTTCCCTGCAGAAAATGAAACCGCCCAGGCCCTGGCGCAAAATCTACAAGCATGTCATCTATGCTGTGCCCACTTTTGCGAATCCCTCGGGGAAGATTATGTCGCTGCGGAGACGGGAGGCGCTCGTTCGTCTCGCCCGACAGTACGATGCGCTGATCGTGACGGATGATGTGTATGATTTCCTCCAGTGGTCGGCCAAGCCGGAGGGAGAGGAGAATTCCGGGGACCGCGCATGTGTTCCGCGTATTGTCGATGTGGACCGCTACTTGGATGGTGGTCCACAGGATGAATGGGGACACGCACTTAGTAACGGCAGTTTCAGCAAGCTGATCGGGCCTGGTGCCCGCACCGGCTGGGCGGAGGCTTCCGAAAAGGTTGCATATGGATTATCACAAACGTACGGGGCACTGCTGGGATGACTTGACTGACCACCCCCCCCTTCTCGGATATGGAATCGCAGACTGACCCGATATCGCTTGCAGAGGCTCTTCCCGATCGGGCGGCGCTCCCTCTCATTTGTGCGCCGCTGTCATTGACCAGATGTTCCCTACAGGCATCATTCAGAACCACATCCGGGACGTCCTCCAACCGAAATACGCCGAGCGCTACCACACCCTGCTAGCAGGGATCAACGAACATCTCGTCCCGCTGGGCGTCACAGCCCCACCAACCGCTGCCGCGGCCGGAGGTTACTTTATTTGGATTGGTCTACCAGCGCCGTTGCTCGCCGCCGACGTAGCCCAGGCAGCGCTGGATGAAGAAAATCTGCGTTTATCGCCGGGGCATGTTTTCCAGATCCCCGGAGACCCGCAGGTACTCGATGAGGAGTTTGCAGATCATCTGCGCCTCTGTTTTGCGTGGGAAGAGCCACGACACTTGAGCGAGGGAATGCGTAGGCTAGCACGTGTTCTCCGCCGTATGACTCGTACCCAGGTCTAGGTATTGTGCGCCACTTCACCCACTTCACAGCCACTCCAACTGGAGTGTCCACTAGACGCGTGGCGCATGAAAAGTACATAACTTCAACATATAGACAATTTACAACGTAGCCTTGCCAGCTCATAAAAACCTTCGAGTTGGGTATTGTACGGAGTACTGTACATTTTATATCGTAACGTTGAGGCTCTGCGTTGGGCATTACTACAACATAGAGACGCGAGTTGGCTGGGCCCAGGGTTGGGCCATTTTCAGAACCCAATACCGCCAGCACATTGAAAGTCATGTACAAAGGTTGTATAATTCTACCAGAGAACAACAGGGGCAATACTAATTAGACACGAGACAATTTAGGATCAGAGGGGCAAGCCAATCCCGAGCGGGTCCTCCGACTCAGGGGGAGTAAAGAGCAAAGCTTGGCCTCGACACTTTCCCCCTCTTTATTTGAATCAACGCCAACCCTTAAGTTGACCGTCGGAAATTCCAGAGGTCGTGGCCTTGTCCTGTTATGAGCTTGGCTTTTGGTTCTCCGTCATCAGGAATCCTTCAAACCCCCCGGAATGTTCATCCATAACTTGACCCCCTGACAACACGCGGGGGATATACGCCGCTTTGACTCGACGTCGAGTCTTGTGCTACAGGTGGAATTACACAGACACAGATACATACACAGACATATGCAAACATGCATTTTCAAGCAAAAGGAATGAACAGCCCTCGATCTGCAATAAAAAACAAATACGATGCCAGTTCTGGGGAATCGCGGTATCATCCTCTCTTCTCTTCTACACGGCCTGAACAAAGGGATCCACTCGAGTCAAGGGCATGGTGATACGCGACAACGTGCAATGCTCGTCCTGTCCCCCTGTGAGCATAACCCGTCGCAGATGATTGGAATGGATGACCGACATGCCCTGTTTGGGGTATGAATTCAGGTTATATAGCGCGTAGACCCGTAGTCTGTTTATTCTCGTCTGAATGCTGTTTGTGCTGTTCTACCCCGTACCCTGAACAGATTGACCTGGAAATTGCCAACCACTCGAAGCGATATCTAAGTTTCGATTCGAAACATTTGCAAGCGCCAGCCATCTTCAGCGTTTCAACTGCAGACCACCACGTTTCAAGCGAAGACGCTGTCACCAGGCCGGGCTTTCTGATTGGTGGGGTGTGGTGGACTTTAGGGCTGTGGCGCGTGTGATTGGCTGGAAAGGGGAAGTTTGCAAACGCTTTGCCTTATAGGTATGATTCTCCTCCCGTCTCTATGGTCGTGGCCTATTTTGTGTCGTTCTTTCCTTCTCTTCTTCATTTCTATTCATTCCATTCATTCATTCGTTTTTTCATTCATTTCGTCGGGCACCACTCTTTGTCCTGTCTCTATTTTGGGAAGGAACCCTGCATTGGAAGATTCACTCTTTAAATCTTCTTTGCTCTCCTGCATATCGCTGCTGGTCAAGCGTTGGACTCGATTCTTATTCCGATATCCGCAGTACTGGTTGCTGAACTATCTCATTCCCTAGACATACTTCTTTCTACTTCGCTGCAGGTTCAGCGTTATCCATTTTCAATATGGCCGTTCTACAAACCTCCATCGCGATCTTTGTCGCCCATATCATCCTTTTGCTCGGTTTACCAGCCTCTTTGGTCGCAGCTGTGCCACTCTCCGTGCCTGTATCTCCTGTGAACAACGTCTTGGCCACTACCGAAAAGAGATCCACCTCAAGCTACTGGGTCGCCAATGTTGAGCGTCAGGGTGTTGTCCCCTTTGCCACGAGCACCGACTACAAGATCTTCCGAAATGTAATGGACTATGGTGCTAAGGGTCAGTCATTCATCTTACTTCTATACCCTCGGGCAATATGCTAACTATGTCCCAGGTGACGGTTCTACTGACGACACTGTCGCTATCAACAAGGCTATTTCTTCTGGGGGCCGTTGTGGCAAGGGCTGTGATTCTTCTACCACCACTCCTGCTATCGTCTACTTCCCCCCTGGTACCTATGTTGTCTCGAAGCCCATCGTGCAGTACTACTACACCCAGATCGTTGGTGACGCTGTCGAACTGCCCGTCATCAAGGCCTCCGCCAAATTCGCGGGTATGGCTGTGATAGATGCCGATCCCTACGAGGACAATGGCGACAACTGGTTCACCAACCAGAACAACTTCTTCCGCGCCATTCGCAACTTGGTCATTGACCTGACCAGCGTCCCAGAAGGCTCCGGTGCCGGTATCCACTGGCAGGTCGGCCAGGCTACGAGCTTGCAGAACATTCGGTTCGAGATGGTCAAGGGTGGTGGTGACGCCAACAAGCAACAGGGTATCTTCATGGACAACGGATCCGGTGGTTTCATGTCCGACTTGACTTTCAACGGTGGTAACTACGGCATGTTCCTCGGTAACCAGCAGTTCACTACTCGTAACCTGACCTTCAACGGCTGCCAGACTGCCATCTTCATGAACTGGAACTGGGCCTGGACTTTCAAGTCAGTCCAGATCAACAACTGCGAGGTTGGCCTCAATATGTCTACCTCGCCTTCCAACCAGACTGTTGGCTCCGTGTTGCTGCTGGACAGCAAGCTCACCAACACCCCCACTGGTATCGTCACTGCCTGGACTCAGAAGAGCATCCCCGTTGGTGGTGGTGATCTGATTTTGGATAACGTGGATTTCTCTGGCTCCAAGATTGCTGTTGCCGGTATCAATGGCAATACCATCCTGGCTGGTGGCTCTGTTGTCGACAACTGGGTTCAGGGTAACACCTACACCCCGTCTAAGACTGTCACCAAGCGCGCCAGCGAGTCTGAGCCTGAGGTGGTCACCGTTATTCAGACCGTTACGGAGACTATCATGGCCTGTCCCGCTTCCTACGGTCTTTCCAGCACCAGCTTGGTGAGCAGCGACGTTCCTGCCCCGGCGAAGACTGCGTCACTTGAATCTGCTCCCGCTCCTTCGCCTGTTCCCGGTGTTAGTACCAGCAGCGATTCTGATCGCATTGCTCAGACTTCCTCGATCTCTGTCTCCAACAGTGTCCTTTCCATTCTCGGATCCTCTTCTGAGGCCTCTGAAGTCTCTGAGCCCACTTCCGCAGCTGCTCCTTCTAGTGAGGCCCCTGCCACTTCTGTGGTGTCTGTTGGTTCTTCGCCCTCTAGTGTGGTTTCTACCAAGCAATCTGCTCTGCCTGTCGTCTCCACTGCTGTTCCTGTCACCTCCAATGTTGTGCCTGTCACCTCTATTGCTGCGTCCGTCACCTCCACTGCTGCGTCTGCTAAAATTACTAGCAGCAGCTCTGCAGTTAGTCAGGCCACCCAGTCTGGTAGTGACAGCAGCACTGCCACTTGCGGCGCCTCGGGCGCCGTTGCCTCCGCACGTACCCAGAGCACTCTGAAGACTTCTTCTAAGCCCGCTAGCCTTCTCAATGGAGGTGCTATCTTCGAGCGGTCCAAGCCTCTGTACGAAGACGTCGCCGCATCCTCTTTCGTCAGCGTCAAGTCGGCTGGTGCCAAGGGTGATGGAACCACTGACGACACTGCGGCCATCCAGAAGGTGTTTGACAGCTACAAAGATGGCCAGGTCATCTACTTTGATCACGGTGCCTATGTCATCACCTCCACCGTCAAGATCCCCAAGGATATCAAGATTACTGGTGAGATCTGGCCCATGCTCATGGCATACGGCGAGAAGTTTGCCGACCAAGAGAACCCTGTTCCTGTCTTCCAGGTCGGCCAAAAGGGTGACACTGGCTCTGTCGAGATGAGCGACCTCATCATCACCACCAAGGGCGCCGCCCCTGGTGCTATCCTCATGGAGTGGAACGTTGCTGGCTCTTCCCAAGGCTCCGTTGGTATGTGGGATGTTCACTTCCGCATTGGTGGTGCCGCTGGTACTGAGCTGCAGAGTGACACTTGCCCCAAGACCCCTAAGCAGAAGACCACCCCTAATAAGGAGTGCATGGCCGCCTTCATGCTCCTGCACATCACCAAGACGGGCAGTGCCTATCTCGAGAACACCTGGTTCTGGACTGCCGATCACGAGCTCGACCTCAAGGATCACAACCAGATCAATGTCTACACCGGTCGTGGTGTGCTCATCGAGTCGCAAAACCCCGTTTGGCTGTGGGGTACCTCTTCAGAGCACCACCAGCTGTACAACTACCAGGTCTCGAGTGCCAAGAACGTCTTCATGGGTCTCATTCAATCTGAGACTCCGTACTACCAGTCCAACCCGACTGCGCTGACCCCCTTCACCCCGCAAGACTCCTGGAACGACCCCGACTTCTCGAACTGCACGACAAACTCCTGCCGCAAGTCCTGGGGTCTGCGTGTTCTCGGCTCCTCGGACGTCTTCATCTACGGCGCCGGTCTCTACAGTTTCTTCGAGAACTACGCCCAATCCTGTCTCAACTCTGAGGACTGCCAGGAGAACATGGTCGAGGTCGACTGTTCGGACGTCAAGCTGTACGGTCTCAGCACCAAAGCCTCTGTCAACATGATTACCTCATCTGACGGCAAGGCTCTGGTCCTTGAGAAGCCTAATAAGAGCAACTACTGCTCCACCATCGCTCTCTTTGAGCAATCTGCTTAGATTACTCTTCTTTCCTTTCTATCATTCTTTTTCTCATTCTGTTCTCGTTCATTGTTGTAAACAATACCATTTAATTTCTTTTGTACTTCCCCCAACGTTATATGAGATTCAATCTCCATCTTCTGCTCCTATATTTCTGTCTAGACACTTCTTTCTCTTAAACTTTTCTCTGCGTCGGATGCGCGCTTTGGGGGTCTTTTGCTCGATACCATTGCATTCGGTTTCATTCATGGGATCATTACTAGACTTTTGTTTCCTTTCGGTATCACAATATACAATGCCATGACATCTTACGACCTTTAGACCTGTAGCTTGTTTGTCATCCGGAGTCAGCGATGTTAATTTCCAATATTAGCATAAGTTCCCCTGCAATATACATAGCGGGTAGATCATAAAAACCCCGTCGGAACCCGAAGCCATGTGGGTCTGATACGTCTTTCGTGCTTATAGTCTCGGAGTCCAGGTTGTGATTTTATTAGCTTATTTGCATGATATCTCTGGTCACCCACAACCCCAGGGAAACACGGCGTACTCCGTTATCGAGAAAAGGAGGTAAACGGAGCTAAGAGAAGTGACGCAACCAATAAGCACTAGTTGGTAATTATCCTTGGATACCATTCGCCAGGCTTATATCTTCTAGACCTCATTGAACCGAATGTGGCTGAATCATGACAGGGTTTATCTTCAGGCCTAAAAAGAAAAAGCAAAACCTCGAGACCTCATGGCGTGCAATACTTTTATAATGTCGATGACTCCCTCCCAAGAGATACAGATGCAGACGCATGACCAAAACGAGTCGAAAAAGCCCAGTAAACCCCAACGTCTCCCATTCCGGACATCATGCGACCCCTGTGCAGCTTCTAAGGTGCGCTGCACCAAAGAGAAGCATGGATGTTCGCGCTGTGTCCTAAACGGCTCTAAATGCGTGTATGGACGCTCGCGAAGAAAGGGGAAACCGTCGAACAAGACTACAACTGAACTCGCCCGTCCACCTGTTCATCCTCCGTCTTCTCGAGTCCAGATGTCTCCAGCTCCTCTAGCTCCCTTAGCCCCTCTAGCACTTCCAGCCCTTTCGGCTCTCCCTATCCTTCCTGACCATCAACCATCCTGGCCCATGGGCCCGAATCATCACCAGCCCAACTATAACTACAACTCTACTTGGTATCGGTCTCCACCATCCCCAACGACCAATTATCCAACCCCGACCGAATGGGAGAGAACATCAAATACCTTGCCTCCGAGCTTGACTCATCAATCACCGGGTGAGAATGCAGGGACTCTGCATTTGCCCAACCCGGGATATACATGGCCTAGCATGGTCCGGCCGCGAGAGGTCCCGGAAGACGACCAACACGAGCCTTGCATCGCGGTAGCATGTCGAACGCTCTCCTCGCTGTACGAATTCGTTCAATCTGACTGTGTGAATGGACACACAGCCAACGATACCCAATCTCGCAATATGCTCCAACCACCAACCCTAAGGGAATCCCCCGCAAACGATGTCGTGTTTCGCATGACTCGATCCGCCACGGAGACGGTTTCTCGATTATTGAACTGCACCGGGAGATCCTGCGCACGGGATCCTTCCAAGCTCCTGCTTCTCGGGTCTGTTCTTTTGAAAGTCTTAACTTGGTATGAAGCACTCTATCAATCTGAGATTGGCGGGCCGGACACTTCGTCGTTGGATAATCGCGAATATGCACGCTTGCAGCCACAACCATATCATTTGAATGGCAATACAGGTCTCTCGCGACCGTTTGGAAGTATGAAAGAATCAATACTTGCTATCCCATTGACCACCCCGTTGGGTATCGATATGGTTAATATCTCCCGCGCCACGGAGACAAAAATGAAAGCCCAAGTACTGCTCTGGGAGGTGCAGATCTTATCTCACGTGTGCCAGGCTCTCGAGCATCGAATACAGGCTGCTGAGAGCATACGCGGTGAGAATAATCTGTGCGGACAGGCAAATGCCTATTTATCGCGGAAGGTGGGCGAGCTGCAGCGCGCTTTGACTGTGGTGTGTACGCCGGTACCGTCACTGGGATAGATGTCAGATCGAGAGGATACATACATACAGTATAGACCAACTCGGTGCCTGGGATTTTAATATTAATACTGAATAAATTATGGTACATTCTGTTCTTGGTACAATTCTCGCGCACTATCTAGAGTTCTCAAGAAATTACAGGATTCATCATAGACAAGGCTCTATATATCGAAAGTAACCTATTCGCTCTCTCCATCATCGCAAGCAGCCTTATCAGAGACACATGTCGAGATATTGGCACCGGGAGTTGAACGACACTTGTCGAAGATCTCTTGACAATCGCCCTCAGCGGAGACCACGCGCACCGGGTGTCGCAAGTGTAGCTTTGCGCGGGAGTTGATCTGGCCGTGTCGACACGCCTCGCGGTCGGAGAAGCAGGTGGACATGTTGGCGTCTGGGGCAGTGACGCACTTGTTGTAGGCGTCGTCGCAGGTAGAGGTGGTTTGGGTTGCGGTGATGCTGGTTGCCAGGGTGAGGGTGAGGAGGGCTTTTAGGTGGACCATTGTGGAGGTTTGAGGTTTGGATTGTGGTAGTATGAAGATGGGTATACTTGAGATGATGGAACTGGGTTTGTGGCGTGATGGGTGGCTTTTATAGACAGTAGTTGCGAGCAATATTGCTTTGGTTGGGACAAGGGGCTGACAAGGGGTACTGTACATTGAACTTCAGCTATTGAATGCATGATGAGCGATGGTATACACTGTGTCGATCTTCTGAACCCCACAACTCGAGCATGCGGTCAGTTGGATGAGTGGAAATAGTTCCTGCACTGCTAGGGAAACTCGATGTAGAGTGTGTATGTTGATTTCTTGCGCTGTAGAGAGAATGTCGCAAGAGATGCTGTTGTAGCTTGTGATCGGAGAGATTAGGCATTGTAGTGTGCAGCAATCGAGATCACATTCCAGGTGCGTCAGTGTGAGATCTATAGGACTGATCAACATGATCGACACAAGGGAAATCTGGCGCTAGTCTCTACCTGCAGGTTACCTGATACTAGTTCTAATAATTCAATGTCCGGTGGTTTCTTACAAGAAGCACAATGTTGTACTGAGTACTGATGATTTAATATTGCAGTTAATAGCTGTTCTAGATAATGACTTGCTTGGTTTCACCATAAAGGCTACTCATCCTGAACACCACGTAAAGGTGCAAGTCTTGTTCAGGTGCCACACACAGGACCCGTGAAGCTGGGTTAGGAAGGAGGGGGAGGGGGGGGGGGGGGGGGGGGGGGGGGGGTTATAATATAAATAGAAAAGGGGCACCCAACAACAAGGGGGTTAAACA